TCTAAACTCTAGTTGACAACCAGCCGTCTCTTTTAAAAAAACTAATGTTCTGATCGTTTTTGGATTAACAAAATCTGAGCTCCACCTGTGGGCATCCTTCAGGGGAACCTCTCCTAGAGACCCCGTGATTTGGCTTGACTGTTGCATGCCTCTGAGAATTGAAGTTTTCCCCAGTGTTGTTAATCCTTCTTTCCTCATCAGTTCATACCAGAAACCACAAGCATCCCACAAAGGCATAGCTTTTTCCTCTAACCCTCTTCATTGTTTACATGCATCATGACTGCTCTTCTCATGAGAGAGGATGCAGAGCCTGAGTTCTCACCACATTTATACTGGAGAAAGTAGCACTGACTGTATGCACCCTGGAGGGACCTCTGAGGCTGTGGTAGGGATGGATCAGCAGTGTCAGTTCTCTGGAGTAAGTCATTCCCTCTTCCTTCTTTGGATAATATATAACTTAAAACACTGATGCAGAGATTTAGTTTGCCATGACCAAATCACTGTATTCACTTTAGACTATGAAGCTTCCACTTGGATTCGGGAGCATGCTGCAGCTCTGCATAGACAGCTGCAGTCTGTTCCTGCTCTTAGATGGATCTGGACCTTTTTCCATTCAGGTTTATTAACTGTACAGATCAGAAACTTTCCAAAAATAACTTCCTTTCCTCCTGTCCTTATCTCTGTGGCCAAGTAAGTTGCAGGGAATGGCTTAGCTGAGCTGTCCTTATTTTACATGTCCTTCTCTGGCATGTGACTGTTACCTAACCAGCAGCTATGAATGTTTTAGTGTGCCCATATAGCATGGCTCGATGTACTGTGCTCATTACTAAATCATAAAACTTATCAGTGTCTTTGCAACGTTGGCAGTGCACTGTGCTTTTACCACATTAATTACTTCATATGCCACAGTGCACCACACCAGCACCCCTCCTGTGCCCACCAGGTCCTGCATGTTCCCACCATCAAATAGATGAGGGGTGAACATCTGCATAGCTGTTGCCGAGCTGCTGATTTCCAGCCATGGCATCACTGTGCCGTGTCAATAATTCAGAAGTGATGGAGAGCTGGAAGAGTGTAAAGTCTGCAGCCCTCTTTGTTTCTGGGCAGTGTTCACTGCCTCCTGGTGGCTGTGCTGTTGCCATGGAAACGGCAGTGGGATGGCACAGCAGTGGGATGGCACGGCAGTGGGATGGCACAGCAGCGTGCTGGCATGGGGCTGCTGGGAGCAGCAGCACTTGTGTCCAGGTGTGAAACACAGGCTCACCTTCCTTCTATCTGGGGCCTTTTCCCTTTTCTCTCAACAGCTTTGTGAAACTTAGTTGTTAAACAAATGATGCTCCCAAGTTCTAGAGTATGTGTTGAAGAGTTCTGTTGTTAGAGATTTTGTAAAAATACGCAGTGTCAGAAGGTGAGTGCTGCTGGTGGTCTGGAGGAGTGGGGGGAGGTCATGTAGGAATGCAATCATGAAATCTTTCACTGATACAAAGCAAAGGCCTGTTTGTAGTCAGACGGTGGCTAGAGGAAGGTGGGCTGATCTGTTGGAAGTGCCCTGGTACTTTAGGGAATAGATGTACTGTGAAAGACTAAGGACTGCTTCATTGACCTGTTTTCCTCTATTTTGAGCAAGGCTGAACTGGTCTGCAGCACTTGGCAGCCTCAGGCTGCAGGTGGGCTGCTGTGTGTACACAGCCATAGAGCATATCCATCCTTTTTTGCTGGCATTACCTATGCTGTTTGTTTTGTTGCTGTCTTAGGTGCTTAGATTCTCAGCAGTTACACTGCAATTACTCTGGAAGTAATGGCTAAAAGCTTTCCTCGTAGGAATAAGAGTGGAACTTGATGGCTGGCTTGAGATGAACGACTGGGCTGTTCTCCACCAGCTGAGTAAGTCTCTCTCTCCTTTCAGTGGCAGACCAGTTAAGGCTAACCAAGGTTTTCTGTACCACGTTAGATCATTGGCAACTGCCTGGCAACTATTCACATGCTTCCTTCAGAGCAGGACCGAATACCATGCAAACCCTCTTTTCTTTTGAATTCCTTGGCAAATAAACATACCTTTTCTACACCAAAGTTTTACTTATGGAACCAAACTGTGTGCCTACATAGGTATGAATCTGCCCAGCAGAGTAATTCCAGCTGGCTTGTAGGATGTTCTCTGGCACTCAGCACTGATCCATTTTGTACCCATTCTTCTTTTAGGATCTGCCTTCAACAGATGTTACTATGGGAGTAAGCTGTGAGGTTTAACTTGCTTTTGCCTCAGTTTTAGTGTACAGGTGTGGTATCCTGTATTATGAACAGGAAACTTGAAATTCCTGAGCATATAATGAGGTTGTTTCTCCTCGCTGCCTCTACGGATCCTTTGGGAGTGCTTCAGAAGTCTTCTTTTGCCCTCTTGCCCCCTAGGAGTCTCCAGTCTCCAGGTTCAACGCCTTGAATGTGGAGTGTATCTACTTCAAATCTGTAATCCGTGAAGCACACTTAAGAGTAAATACTGAGTATGTGTTAGCAAAGCTTAATGCTAGAGTATAAAGTTCAGCATTGGTCATCCAAAATAACACATGCTGCAATTTATTTGCCAGTGCTTTAAAAATCTGATTAAAAATACAGAGTGGAACAACACACTTGGGCAAGGGGTGTGATATTTAGGAAACCATAATCTAAGTAGCTTCTTGCAGCTATGCTTGTGTCTTTGGAAGAGGTGCTAGCTGATACTGATAGACTGGAGCTTTAACCTGTTTGGTTGGTTCTTGAGGGGGTTGGGAATCAGCCCATGGAAGAGTAGGAGTGGACAGCAGAAAGATTTAATTCTTAAAAACGTTAGTTCCAAGTACAGTTATCTTCTGTTTTCTTTAGCTAAGGCACTACTGGGCTTAGCCTTGATCCCTTCTGAAACTGGCATGTTATGTGGGCTCTTTTTAATTGAAAAACATCTTCAGTACCGACTGCAAAGTGAGTCTGAAAGGTGAGTCCATTGTCCAATAAAGCAGCAACTGGCAGTTGAAGGAAATGCACAAAATGGAATGGAGGCCAGCACACTGCTACTTCACAGTGTTGCTTTTGTCAAAGTTAAGGTGCCTTCAGTACATCTGAATTCAGGAAGCATCTATTGGTAGAGTTATACAGTTTTTACATTTTTAGAAGTCATTCTTTATTTTACAACTCAGTTTAGACAGAACTACTATTAGGAAAATTGTTAAATCTCAGTCTTGCAGAGTGATTGCAGTTAATTTCCTGTTCTGTGATAGTGCAGTGAACAGCCTCGTTATCCCCAAGCTACTTAGTGTTTCATATGAGGTTCTGCTGTGTGTGTGCTTTGAGGACACTGACTTTTAAAGACATGTGCACGTCTCCCTTCTGGCCTGGCAGCTTGTTTAAAATGAAAACATAGCAGACTATGAGAAAGCAACTGAGAAGCAGTTCATGTAAAACTGTACTGTGCAGGTATGTGAACTGGATGAGAGTGCTTGGGTGACTCTGGCTGAGCTCTGTGTAATCCTGGTGCACAGCCATGGTTCAGCTGCTTCAGATGCAGTTGAAAATGCCAATTTTGTAGTTTAATAATTGTGGGTTTTGGAAGTGACTCATTTTTTAAGGACTTTAACTTCTAAGTAAAAATTAATCTCCAAATCTTTCAGCTGATGAATATGTAATTAAGATGATACATTTGAATAGGACTGTAGCCTAGAGGTTACAGGAATGTTTCAGAAGAATTGAATCAGTAATGCTTTTGTTCTTCTCATCCTCTGGGAGCGTACCACAGGCTCTAACTAATGCAACATGGTGTTCGTTCTTTTGACTGTTAGCTTGCTTCTTTCTGGAAAGGAGTTGCCTCTTCTTTATAAGCAGATCAACTACAGACAGTTTTTACTTACCAAAATTTGTGGAGGAAGATGACTCTAATACTTTCCACTGTTGACTTTGACTTCTAATTTAGATAAAGGACAATTGTGATTATTTAAGGAAAGAGCTCAGAAGAAGGGACACATTTGAAAAATATAGGACTTAAGAAGAGACACTGGAAGAAATGGATTTTGACCTTAAATATTAATATTGAGGTAAAATTTTCAAGATAAAGAAAATTTCGCTATTAAATTCCATTAAACACTGCTTTGTGCATGAGTCTCTAAAGTACTGAAATAGATTTTTAAATCAGAACTATTTGGATCTATTTGAAAATACCTCGTTTTGTGTCACAGAGTTCTGTGTGTTGTGATATATCCTATGCTCAGCCCTCCAGTTGCATTCCATTTTGCTATTTCAAGAGTCAAATACATCTTACGTTATTTTTGTTTTCTTGGCAGAATTTGTCAATACAGTATGGTTCCTTTACCAGTCTTGGTCTGTTCTTAGGATCTTTTCAACCAGTAGTATAGATATCCCAGTTGTTGAGTGTAGTAACCCATGTTATTTGTCAAAATAATTGTCCTAAGCCTCTTGGGTAGAGGGGCTCTTAAACACTTACTGTCAAGAAGTATGGTTGTTGCTTTTTTTTTTTAATATTCTTAAAATCTTAGTGTGAACTAAACGCAGATCCCACTGTAAGACCTAGAAGTTTAGAGCTGTCTTTATGGATAAGGGGAAAAGGCATTAGGCAATTAAGGACACTTCAGGGGGCTGCATCCTGTTTGGTTACATTATGAAAGTTTCTTACCTTGTGAAGATGAGGGAGCTGTGCTCTCTACAACTCCGCCGCCACTTGAGCTTGCAGTGGCAGGATTCACAGGAGTGCTTTATTGCTTCGATGAGAGCTTGACTGCCACTCAAGAACAGATATAGCCTGTAGCTATCTCACTGCATTTATGCAGGTGTTTGATGAAAGAATATGAAGATAGATGCTTTAAACATGTCCCTTCTATCCTCTGTCTTTGACAGGCTTATTAAGGCTCATCAAAGAAAGAATCCCTTATTTTAGAACAAACCTGAGATGCAGTTTGCAATTGAGCGCCCCTCAGAGAGGATTTTGAAAGTTTACGTGCCTCTCTGCTGTGTATTTTCAGGTGCTCTCACAGTTGGCCTTGTGCGACAGTGTCAAACCATCCATGGACGTGACAGGACCTGTATTCCTCCACGGCTGCCTCCTGAGTGGGTCACTACGTTATTTTTCATCATAATGGGAATCATTTCACTAACTGTCACATGTGGTTTGCTGGTGGCTTCCCACTGGCGAAGAGAAGCTACTAAATATGCCCGCTGGATAGCTTTCACTGGAAGTAAGTGACCTCAACTGCACAGTTGACCTGTACACAGGATAAACTGGTGGAGTCTGAAATAACACGTGGTGCTGTCAGGGAGCAGTTCTTAGGGCTCCTTTACAAAATACTCTTTCTCTTCAAATACTGCATCTGAGAGGAAAAGGAAATTATTCAAAAACTGAGAGGTTGATATCTTAAATGACTGATAATTGAGAGGGATTGATAGCATGTGAGTCCAAAGTGAGAGAAAGGAGGGCCTTGTATGCCCTGACCCCTTCGCCTTCCTTGAGGAGTGCCATTTGCTGACCTGTGAAAATGAGCAGAGATAGCAACAGGTCAGTCCCGGATAATTCTTCCTTCCCTACGCCCCTCTATCCAGCACTTTGAGCCAAATGGGATGACTGGGAATTCCCCTGTGTAGTTGATGCATCTGAGACTCACTGCAGTCTAAAGTCCATCCCCACTTTAGGTGTTGCTGCTGAATACCTCATTCAACGTTGACAACGTTGGTTCAGTCCTGCTTGATGCTCACAACGGGTGTTTTATTCACAGTATCTACATCCTAATTGGCTGTGGGGGAGGACTGCCCACTGCAGAGCACCTGCTGTGCTTCACAGCACTGAGGCTTGCTTCCCTTAGGTGTCCTGCAGCAGCTCTTCAGCACAGGGAATAGCACTAATGTTTTTCTGCCTCCCTTCATTGTGTGCTGCATGAACGCCAGCATAATTCCTCACAGCAAAGACTGAGGCTCCTCCAGCAGCCCTGTGTTTCTACACAGGGAAATGCTGTGCCTACTTCAGTGCAAAAGAAAAACAGTTAACCCGCAAGTAAGGGAATAGCTCTCAAACTTCTTTTTCCTTAATGTGCATTCCAGGCTTATGCCAGCTGTAAAATGGTGCTTTAATGGTGGTGATGATGGCATGAAAAAATTCAAAATCTGACTGCTTTTAAGTTGACATATGACAACAGTGTACACACTAACTGGAAAATGCAAGCTTGTGGTTTATACAAACATAAGTAAGGTTTAATGGAAGTCTGCGGCATCTAATGACATCTAATATAAATGAATTTAAGGTTGTTTGGAAAAGGGAATAATGTGTTAACAACAGCAAAAAAATACAGCAAACAAAAAAAATGCCCCGAGCTTCAGCAGAGACACTTTGCTGAGGACTTGTACAATCAAAGCTGTCTTTCTGACAACTTTTCTATGCAGCATGTTAAACTGTCAGTGCAGCAATTGCAGAGAAAGGAACTATTGGAGTGCTTATCCATTGTGGTTGGCTTTTATTCATTTTCCAATGAGTGGCTAAAATAGACATACGTATTGTTGAATGTCCCATGCCAGCTTTTCTAGTTGCCATTGTCTATTAATACATATTTCTAATGTACACAGAAGGGTTTAAATTCGAAATGCTGTATCAGATTAAGACACTTGCAGTGAGGAGATCTCAGATCTATTCAGTTCTAAAGTATTTGGTTATTCAAGTATTTGGTTGTTTGTGGGTTACTGAGGTTTTTTGAGTACTATAAAGTATTTATTTATTGAGGTTTTTTTTCCCCACAGTTCACAGCTTGCATTTTGATTTTTACATATTCTTTAAAATATTTCCAATAATCAAATCCTTGCATCTCTAATTTTCTACAACTTTGATGCTTACTTCAGATAAAAATTCTGATACCTTAAAGCTTGTTGTTTTAGTTTTTTTTTTTCCCCCTCTGTGGATTCCTTTGGGCTTGCAGTAGGGTCACTGTTAGAAGCCTTAACTGTAGAAGAATACTGTTATGTTTCAGCACTTACCTTTGTTATGAGATATTTAAAATGAAGCACATCAATTTGTCCTCTTGCAACTCAGAATTATTTGTAATTCTATTAAGATACGTTTGCTGTGTTGCTGAAATTTACCAGCGGATATTTATCTCCAATACATATGACTCTATGAACTCTGTATTAACGATGATTGGAAATTTTATTTCTTAACTCATTTATAAGAAAAGAAGTGAATGGAAGGCAGAGCTATTTATTCTTCAGGAAGTCAATATAAAGAAATTTTGTCGTTCATTGTATGGCAACACAGATGAGTATTCTATTTGTAGATTGATATTAGCATGCATGTAAACGTGTGGCATTAACTACCATGAACCTTCCTGTGAAGTGGCAGAGTGCTGTATTATGAAAACGTGGGTAATTCATTAGAACAGAGTAGGGAAAACTTCATAATTGTATTACATTTCTTCTGCAGGTGATTTCAAGACTGAACAGCCCAGTACAGGCGGCTAGCAGATACTCTCCTCGCAGAACTTTCAGAACATGACATAGGATGTGCTGTCCTAAGTGGCAGTGAAGTCTGCTGGGATTGCTAAAGGCATCTCTGGGACTGGCAGCTCTGTTCTCTTCAAATGCAAGGGGGGTCTAGATGAAATCATCTAACGACAAAGGAATCTCTTGCTCAGCCCTTTCCTTGCAACTCTGCCAGCAGCAAGGAGAGCCAGGCAGGAGGTCATTCTTGCCTTGCTTGTGCTGGAATTTGACCCCAATGGGTTAAGTCAGTTTGTTGCAGATCCCCTCTAGCTACCTTCTGTCCAAGGTGGTGAAATGCAGTCCAGAGAAGTTATGAGAAAGTCTCGTTCTTATCCATAGGTGGTATCTGAAATACCTCTGTTTTTGAGGAAGAAGATGAAGACCTCCCTTGCAGAAGAGAAAGGTCTTGGAAGAGCAGCTCCATGTAGCTGGTTTGACAATATAATGTAGGGAAAAAGAACTTCCTGATTCTTTTGTCTTGATTTTTATGATAATCATATGAAAGACTCTTAAGGAACTATTTGATGTTTTCCTCAATTGATAGAATTCTGTAGAGTAAATTGGTGCAAACATCTTCAGCACTTCATTCCTTTGCTCACTTTACAGAGCACAGTATGATAATTCAGGGAAGAAGAGTCCAGGTCATAAACTAGTGCTGATTGCTTGGCATGCCTATACCAACACCTTCAAAGAGAAGCAAAGGTAGGATAGTGTTTTTCTGCTACAACTAAAAGATTAAGATAGTATTAGATTGATTTTAGATATTGTTTTGGATTGTGATGACTTAATATTCAGGCTGTTGGTTTCAGCTTCTATTGCAGTCTATTTTCACTTCAGTATTTTACCCAGGTTATGTCTGTAGATGGGATCTATAGGTCCCTGAATGAGCCTTCACCCGTATCGCTCTGTCCTCAGCAGGTTTTGTTGGCACTACTGATGGCAGCAGAGAAAGCTGCTTGCTTTTCTTTTTGTTTCTAGCAAAGATCACAAAGGAGTAGCTCTCCTGAAGTAAGAATCAGAAACTTTTTATCTCAGCAATGAAACTGTTCTCCTCGATTTCTAAATCATATTGAGATTTAAGCTAACTGCATTATGTACTTTTTTTAGTGGAAATCTTGCTTGTAATAATGTCGTCTTCGATGATGCTTTTCAACAGTGCACTTTCTAAATATGAGTTTCTTGTTCTTCTTGTAGGGTTATTCAAGACTCACAGTATTCCTAACTGATGTGATAGGTATTGTGACCCCGGGTGTAGATGCAGTCAAAACTATCATTGCTCTTTGAGCCCCGTTAACGTAGTGTCAGATTCACACACTGTAATGAAGTATGGATTCCATCTTGGTGTTCATTTCCATGCTGCCCAGGTCTTTGTGTGCATCTTCAGTAAGAGGCATTGTAAACTTGTAGCTGTGCCTCGCCTGTTGATGGCAGCCAAAAATCTATCAGCTCTTCATTGCATGGTATTGTTTACTTGTTGCTCAAGCCAACTGTCTGTTGCCATCCCAACTCTGTACTGCTTTGTCACTGGTTATGCCCATGATATGGTGGCATAGATTGGTAGCAGGAAAGTAACCTGGGTTTGGTACTGTTCCATGCATCTCTGAACCATACTTCATTTTTTATTTTTTTTTTAATATGCTTTATCCTGGGTTCATAGAAGTTATTGCCACTGAATGCTCAAAACAATTTTGAGCTTAAGAATTAAAGGATCTAGACCTCTTCTGACAGCCACTGGAAGTAGCCAAAAAATGGTTGTGTTCTGTTACTGAATACTTTTGTTAATAGAAATTGTAATGGTTGTCTTTTCTGCAGTTTTTCCCTGAAATTGTAAGAACAGACTTTTAAGGGAGAGGTTCTTTAGGGGTTGCTGGATGGAAATCCACTGAGTTTATACTACCAGATATGAACAGATATTTTCAGCTTGTATAAGAAATTTCTACCCTCTAGGCAACAATTCTTCTTCTTAAAGAATACACACTGAGTTAACTGAGTGCTTCCTCTCTTAGATTTTCTCTTTAGTTTCGGTGTTGTTGTTTTAGTACATTTATCATGTGGTCTTTTCTTACTATCATCTCAAAAAATTGCCATAATTTGGCTTCCTAGTCTGACAAAGAACTTGATGAAAACTGTTTTTCATTTGCTATTTCAGTAGATTAAAAATTCAGACCACACTGAGTAGAATTGCTCGGAAGCCTTCATAGCACTATTGTTATTTAGAAGAAAAGAGGTCTCTGGTTACTTCTGAAATGTGGATGTGAATCAGCATTATTCACACTGCCTGCATTTCCAGAATTTATTTATTTTGCTCTTGTGAGCTGAGGGAGAGTTGAGGTATCTGCGTGCTTCTGTCCTCAGGCAGAAATGCAATGAGTCACTGGGCATGTGCTCTCCATGGCAATTGAGTGCCACCAGCAGCTCTCAGACCTGCAGCACTGCTGGGTTTGTGTATGTACAACATGCCTCAAAGAGCAATTGCTTAGTAAAGAGAGATAAAGATCTATTCTTCAGTCTTATCCATGCGGCCATCAGAACTTTTCCGCTCGTATGGTTCTTGAATGTGATAAGGGAGATGTGAGCTTAAAAGTGCACGTGGTGGTTTCAGCATCCTCAAGCTATTTCCAACATGCTCACTGCTGTTAAAATGTAACAGCAATTCTGTAAATAACTGGAATGTTCTTCAGGGGCAAACTGGATGTAGTAGGAAATGCTGACTTACGGTAATGTCAACCATCCTCAGAGCCTTGTTTAAACTGTTACTAATTATGTGTTGCATTAATAAGTACTTGTTGTCAACCACTGTTTTCTGGACCACTCCAATGGAGAGCTCTTCTGCACTCAAACTGATCTCCTCAAAAAATACATACCTGGGCTTCCTCTCCTCAGCTGCACAGCCTGCTGGTTGAGATACAGCTTTAAAAGGGGAAATATTCTTTAAGGATTTGATTGTGTAGAGTGGGATTCTGTGGATCCATAACCATATGTTTAAAAGCTTTACGATGAAATGATATTTAATATGTGGTTTCTGGTTCTTTGGTTGTTTTGTAGCCTAATGTGGTAGCACTGAGCAAGAGTTTAGTAACTGCAGCTGCCAGATTCGCTCGTGCCCTTTTTTTATCCTTAATCTGCTGCTGTAGTTTTATTAAAAGCAAGACACAAGCTCCCTCTAGTGGAACGATTGATGTATTTAGTTATTTTGATTTTTATTTATTTATTCCCAACTAAGTATTTTAGTATAAGCAGAGAGGCTGATTCTCATATTAGCAGCATTTGACTCAAGATGTGTGTAAGCTGTTTCATGCGTTCAGGAATGCAAAGAACAGCTGATGGTTGGATGTGCATTATGTGATCAAACCATCCTGTTTTGTTTGTGCAAATCCTGCATAGGCATTTCTTGAATTCAGCTCCATCATGTTCATAATTAGTCTCTGCCACAGAACATGACTGTTCTTCCATGAAGCTGAGACCTGTACTACGTGAATCACAATGTTTTGAGCATTAAGATACAAAATATGTGATAAACATTTCATCTTGTATATAAATGTGGAATTCATTAAAAAAAATCTTTTAGTACTGCCGTGTAACACTGGAAAAACCAGAGCATTAGCCAGAAGAAGAGTAGTGAAATTGCGTTCCAAAATATTGAAGCTGCTCTACGCCATCATATCCTCAGCTGGAAAGAGTAGAGACTGCCTTGTTAAGAGCAAGCGAGCTGCTGAATTTGCTTACGGTATCTTTGGAAATGAAAGCATTGCTGACTTGTACAGGAACCAGCAGTTGAGATGCTAGCTGTTACTACTGCCATGGTAGGGGTTGTTTGGGTTGGTTTGGTTTTGTGGTGTTTTTTGCTGTTGCTTAAGTACAGTTCCTATATTTCTTACTAAGGAAAAGCAGCAATCTGCATTTAGAAGACTGAATAAATCAGTATGTAGTACGCTACAGGCAGAGGCGTTGTAGTTTGGCTTGAATTTTCTGAATTTTGTTTTCTCATTTTATATATACACTTTGAGGACTGGGAGATGGTGATGTCACTGTGCTTCGTATTAGGAGATGACTGTGTGAATATTTATAGAGTTGGTGGAAGAACAGAACAGGTTCAGTGCCTGTGTCCCTCTGATATAAAATAAGGATATTCCACTCACTGTAAATAGTATTTGAAAGAAAGCTGAAATACATAGAAGTGAAATAAGAGTAAGGCACTAATTGCTGACTTATCTAGTAATAAAATTCTATGTTCTAATACTGATGGAAGAAAAAGAAAGGATGGGGAAAAGACAGTATCTATGCTATAGTATTGAATACGCACTCAAGCCAACTTAAAAGATAATCTTTTTTTACTGTGAGAAATCTCTTGCCTCTTAGAGATGCTATATATATATTTGGAGGCCATTCTTTTGCTAGAGACACTACAGATCTGTACCTTGCTGTGTTCCCACTAAATAAGGTTACTGATCCAGAGCTATCTACAGGAGCACTGGTGTTCTCATCTGGGAAAGATTACAGCACTGCATTTTCTGTACTGAGGAATGCTGGCCACTATTAACATCTGAAGGGCTGTGAAATGTATAATGTAATTCCAATGAATGGCTTTAGTAGGGATTCTGTGGTTGTTTGTTGGTGGGGTGTTTTTTGCATATTCACACAGGGTCAGTTGTATGTGAACCACATACCTGAGTTTAACTACTCAAATGAAATCAGTCCCATTGCTTGGTTCTCTTAAGTTCACGAAATTTGAACTTTGAATGTTTTTCACTAAGAATCTTAGATTAAATTGAATCAGAAAACTTTCTTTGAACTCCAGTGGAAGATCTTAAGGAGATTTTGTTACTTAAGAAATAATCATGAATTTAGGAAACTGATGTATTTTAATGAAAGAAACCATAGTAACAGTCTCTGCAATGTTTAGCAAACCTTCTACAGGAAAAGAGTTTGTGCAAAAGGGGAGAGGATGACTACAATTGGTAGAAGACAACTTTGATAATAAAAAGGGAATTTGAATGTTAGATTGATATGGGGGGAAATGACTGTCTAAAATAACTGGAGAAGTAACTGACTGCATTCATGGATAGTGATAGAAGTATATCTGCCAAACTTTTATTATGTAAAAACACTTTATGATCCGGTCAGCAGAGCTGAAATATCAAAATAGTATTTGTGGGATCTTCTAAAGTGTTATCAGTCATTTAAAGCCAGTTAGTGATAGTGGGAATATCTCAGCTTTTCAGTTTGCTTTGCTTTTCTGTACTGCTCTATGAACTGGAAAATATTTTGATTCTAACACTGTTGTTTTGTTTTTTTTTTCTCTTTTCTTTGCAGTGATTCTATTCTGTATGGCAGCCCTAATATTTCCAATAGGATTTTACATCAATGAAGTCGGAGGTCAACCATATAAATTACCCAATAACACAGTGGTTGGGTCTTCGTATGTACTGTTTGTCTTATCCATTTTCTTTACAATAGTTGGACTTCTATTTGCTGGCAAAGTTTGTTTACCTGGCTGATGAATGTTGAACTGCAGGACTTTGTTTTGGAAAAGAGCAAGACATCAGAATTGCATTCTCAGGAGGATGCCTAGATGTGACTGTCAAACACTCACTGAAAAGAGGAATGCTTTGACTTTTTTTCACTATGCACTTTGGATTAATAAAAAGGAGAGCCTTTCCCATAACCAAATACAGACAACGCTGACTAATCTCCTGAGCATATGTAATGCAGTCAGGTCTGCACTGTGATAGGAACTAGTGAAGAATGCTTTACACTGAGAAGCATAATTCCCCACGTTACTGTACCGTTCTAGTTTTTAATGTCTAATGATTTGGAAGTCAAAGTATTTATGAACTTTGTGGTAGACCAGAGGGTTGCAGAGAAATGCAAGCGAGGCTGGCCTCGCTGTGTAGGAGATTAGTATTTTACATCCTCTGTCTCATGAGCAAAGCCTTTGGCACCAGTATGGATCAGTCTTTCGTTGCTGCACCAAGAAGCCAATAGAGCAAACGTTCTCCAAAATGTACGTACCATCCAGAAGACATACATCCCTTCCTCCCCCACAAGCTGTAGAAAAACACTAAAGAACATTTTAGAGGGGGATTTCTTCCTTATATTTATATAAATATATATATAAATATATATATATTTTGCTGATGCAGTATACAGTGTGTGTGTATGTGTGCGTGTGTATATACACATATATGTATATATTTGTATATACACACAAATGGTTCCTGGAAGAGAACTCAGAACGCTTTGCTAGCAAAACACTGTGGTGTGCAAAACTAGAACTCAATATAAAAAAAAGCCATTTCTCTGAAGGCCACATAGCTGAGAGTCTTCAGTTTACCTCATTCTTTGTAGCAGCCCTTGATTTTAACAGTTTTTGTATTAGGTACAAACGATCCCATGCCTTTTTAGGTGCAATTTTAAGTTAAGCTAAAATTCTTTTTATGGTAATTTATTTGTATATGAGGGTGGAAGGTGAGATCATGTCATACCTTAAAGTTAAAATTCTAATTTTGGGAAACTGACACTATTTAAATTACTAGCAACTGTTGTACAGGTAGTCTCTTTTTCTACTGCATTGTTATATTAACAGTCATTTGTGTTCAAACATAACTGTTTACTATAGATGAGCATTTCTCTAGCACAGGTAAAATGTAATGTTTAAAGTAATGCAAACACTATTTCACTGCAAAGATGGATGGATTTATTCACCTTTACAAAAAGAAAAAAAAAGAAAAAAAAAGCAATATCGCTGTATAAACAGCATATGCCTCATTCACTAAAGTGATTATAAATGCAGATTTAAGGGCCAACCAGATTTAAAGTAAATGTTCCTCACCAAAAAGCAGCTTTACTTTTCAACACAGGAAAAAATCTTTGGCTCCGTAGGTGTTACCATACTTTACTACTCAGTCTACCTAGCAGAAAGTAACATTTCTGTTAGTGTCCCAGGAAGGCTGCCTGCACTCTCAGTATCTGCTTTCCAGTTAATCCATGATTTACCAAAATGATCACTTATCAGATAAGCTTAAGGGTTTGAAATAAGATGTTCTGTTCAATTCTTTTAAACTGTGTACCAGTTGGTTCCTGCAGGATTCCTGTTCTGGCACTTCTCCCTGATTCTGCTGAATTGAACAGTTGATAGTTCATATTTTAATGTTCTTGAACAAACCTGTCATTCTAACAGTCTATGAGTGACTTTTTTTTCCCTTACAAGTAGAAGTGTTCATAGAATACTAAATTTCACTGAAGTAGTCTAACCTGTAAATACAGTCAGGCCCCAGCTATTTGTAAATGATTTGGTTCCTAACTTAAGCCTTTATCAGTATGAATGTTCTAAGTCCTTCCAGTGGATATTGGAGGAAAGATCATAGAGTTATAGAATACATATATTAATGAAGATAAATTATGGAGATAGATATATTAACGAAAAATAAAATGTCAGGTTAAGCTGCTGGATATGTCTAAATTTTCAGCATTACTGTGTGTTTAACCAAAGCTGAAGTATTTGCTCAAACTTAGACTTAAATTGTGACAAAGGAAAGCTCTTCTGTTTTCAGAAATATCACTTTTGTAAATAGTTCTAGGTTCTTGTAACTGGAACATAGTGGGTGGAAGAGTTTCTTGGCTGCCAAGATGCCACCCTTCGCCTCCTTATTTCAGGTATAGTAACATTGTGTATGCAGTGGATTTTGGCTTCAGTTAAATGGATCATCCCATAATTAAAAAATACAAATACTGTTCTTTAAGCATAGCCAGACTGTGGCAGGCTGGCTGGGAATTGATCTGATCTGGCAATGCTGTTGCTATGAGTTATTAAATAACAGATGTACCCAGCCAGCTGTTTTTATTCATAATTGGAGCATTTCAAGTCCAGAAATAGATACAGCCATCTGCATTAAAAGTAAAATGATTCCATCAGTAAATGAAGAGACAGCTGTCAACAGTTGCTTTTAATGTCACTAAGTACTATATAGTACAGTATTAATTTATAGCAGAAAATCATATCTTGTAAACTGTATATAAAACACTGTTTTATGGTGCAATCATTTGTCAAACTTTTGTCTGTTACTTTTGTTTGAAAGATGTGTACATTATTCTTCAATACCTAAGAGCATCACTGTAAAATCTGCTGAATATTATTTATAGGTTCTATTTGCACAAGGTTTAAACTACAGAAAGTTCGTATTGAACATGCCTAGACATCTGTAGACTTTTTCAGTTCATGAAAAGGAAAAGTTCCCATGCAAGTCTTCTCCAAAGGTAATCCCGTATTTATGTTGAGTGTTTACATAAACTTTTCTATTTCTGCCATTGGTTTTTTGAAGGACATTTTGTGCATCACTAGAAATTCTTCAGTCTCCTGCTTCCAAATTCTCCAGGGGGTTATTGCTATGTGCACGTTGTTTATTCGGCTAACAAAGCGTGAGATCAGAAGCTTGAAATACCTTCAGAATGAAAACTGTTGGATGTGTTGATGTAAATCTTACAGTTGAGACACGATCCCCTCAGAGCCATTTGTCCCAGGGGTGAGCAGAACGTGCTTCCTTGAGTGCACAGCCCGCCACATTCAGCCTCACGGTGCTTTGCTGGCAGGGACACCCGTTGTACCAGAGCTGGGCAGGGCTGTGCTCCTGAGCCCGACCCTCTGGCCATGCCAGCTGGGCCCTGCTTTTAATGCCTGTGTTTCAGAGCTGTTACTTAACCACTTCAAAACACACCTGTAGATAATAAAATTGTCCTTTAAAAACTGTGTGAAGGATGAAATAATGAAGGAAGCGGCTCTGCGGCCCGGGCATCCCGTCGCTCCCTGCCCCAGGCCTGGCTGCCTGCGTCCATCCGCCCGCCTTTACCGAGGAGTGTTTTCTAAGTGCTTACAACATTTCTTTTTTTATTTTTTTTTTAATCGATGATTTCTGAACAAATGTTAATACAAACTGTATAAAAATGAACATAATTTTCTTCACACTTGTATTTTTGTTATCAAGTTTATCAAAATAAATTGTCTACTAAAACCCCCGGCCGTGCCTGCGCTGACTGAGGGAAGCCGCGCGGCCGGTGCCGTGCCCTCCTCAGCGCCCCCTGGCGGCGGGAAGCGGCGCCGCTCCGTCTCCATCGGCAACGCCGTAACACAGCGCGCACGCGGCCGGCTGTGGAGGGGCGGGAAGCCGCTCGGGCTGGCGGTGCTGAGCGGGGGTCCGGGCGGCGGGGCGATCCGCCAGACTGCCGGGACATGGGGAGGAATAGGAGCTGGCGAGCCGTTTCCCGCTGAGGTGAGTGTGGGGCGGGACAACGCGGCAAGCGGAGGGGCTTCTTCCTCAGTGAGGTGAGGGGCGGGCGGGGCGGGGGTCTCTGCTGAGCCCCGAGGATTTTGCCTGTTTTTCTGTTTGAGCTGCGCTGTCGGTCTCCCAGTTTCACGTGCAACTAATAAACTGCCTGAAAACCCACATCAAACAGCTTCCGGAGTGTTTTGTATAGGTGGAATAACGTAACTCCTCGTTGAAACTGCTCTCTGACTTGCTGCTGTCCTACATGCTGTGTAATCATGGTTTATAAGTTCCACCAATTTTACTGCTTTTTGGAATGCTGTATATTCTCGAGGTGTTAAGCGTTCTGCTGTGATGCTGTCATGTTTTTTCAATGCTGAGTTTATTCATGTAATGGATGCACACGGCAGGAAAGCAGCACAGTTGTAGGGCAGTGGTCAGTTCTTGGAAAAATGGGGTAAGGTCGGCGTTAGGAAATCCTGCTGGGGCTTTGTGAATGGATAGAGTCGGTAATTGCAGCTTGTGTAACTGTGTACTGTGTCCCTTCAAAAGAACATCATATATCTAATGGAACACGTAAATGACAAAATAGAAAACATAAAATCATAGGACAGTTACGACTGAAAAAGGTCACTCAGATCTTCTCGTCCAACCCCAAGCCATCCCCACCACCCACCCTGCTAAACAGCGTCCCTCTGTGCCACGTCTCTGCAGCTCTCAGACACCTCCAGGGACAGTGAATCACTGTTCTTACAGAGAAGTTGTTTTTCTTAATATCCAACCTCAACCTCCCTTGTACAACTTAAGGCCATTCCTTCTTGTCCTATCACTGTTACCTGGGAGAAGGGGCCAACCCCCACCTCACCACAGCTTCCTTGCAGGGAGCTATTGAGAGGTATGAGGTCTTTCCTGAGCCTCCCCCAGTCTGAACTGACCCAATTTTCTCAGCTGCTTCCCTTAAGACTTGTGCCCAAATGCTTCACAGCTCTGTTGCCCTTCTCCGCACATGCTCCAGGGCTTAACATTTCCCACATGAAGAACTTTAATAAGGCGTTATGATAATATACAAATATTCTTGATTATAAGGTCATCCCATAAAATTTGGTGTCTTATAGGGTGACCGGCAAAGCCAGTGTGCAAGGTGACCATCCACTACAGCAGGATTTGACTATGTCTGATCTAGAACCAGATAATGGGTTGCTGGTAATCTGTGCTAATGAGACACAGGATCTGCTGGTAGGTGAGTTTTCCTGCTAAATGGAAAGCTGGAGAAATAATACATACCCACTATAAATACACAGCATGGAAAATAAGCTGAGAAACAGTTGATTTGTTTCATTTGCAAATGCATACAGATAACGCGTTTGATAAAATCACAGAAGTCATGAAGCTGCATAGGGTTTCTTTGGAAAGATGCATTAGTCTGTGAATGTATCAGACAAATTATAAAGTAGATTGATAGTTGATACTGTGATTTTTCTTTAGAAAAGTGGAAGATGATATATACCCCTTCAAAATCTGTGAGGGAGGTTTTGGGGATGCTTACTTTTTCTTCTTTTCCAGTAATTCACAAGCGTATACCTTTATGTCTTTTACAGAACTGTTTCTTGGCTTCCTACCTACCTCCCCCAAACTGAGCTCTTTCTTTCCTTCCTTTAGCTCACAGTGGGCACTGTTGTGAAACCACTTAACTTTGTATCTGAAATTCAATTGGAAATTCGCTACCTGTGTGGTTCAGGACTATGTTGACTCAGTCGTGTTGGCCATACTGAGTTTTCCAGGCTTTTTTTCTTACGGTGCAGTTCATATAAATAAAGCAGTAAGCCTATTTCAATTGCAGAGCATTTTACTTGTCCTAAAACTTACTGGTCATCAGTTGTAGATGTACCTAAAATTATTTTGTTCTTCGCTATATACAGCCTACCTGCAGCCATCCTTATAGTTTTGTCCCACTTGAATGACACATTTCATTTTTTGTGCTGTATTTATTTTTTTCTTAATTGATCTGTAGACAACAGGAATGAAGAAAATGCTGCCTAGGAAGGTGCAAACCACAGAAGAATGGCTAAGAAACTACAGTTTAGAATCCTTGCAGTTAACATTAGAGCATCTGGTGAACGAAGGCACTATTATTTTGTAAGTACGATGTTGCACTTCCTTTAATTAGTGCTGATCTGTGTGCATCTCTGATGTTAATTGCATGCAGTGTTCCAGGGATTCAAGGAATGGTGCTGAGGAGATAGAGCTGGCAGAAGAGGCTGTTACTAATTTTGAGGCCAGAGTTTCTGAGTAAGTTTTTATCTTGTTCATGGTTTTGATGCATAACTGTACCTGTGCCATCCGACCAAACTGTCTGCAAATCTGGTTTAAAATACCAGCTACATCTGCTTGGATTTTTTTGAAAAGGCAAAAGATTTTTCTCACTCTGTAGTGCTATTCTCCAAGTTGTAAAACCTATGCAGTAGGTGATAAAATAATTTGGTTAGCACAGAATAGTGTTTGGGGAAAACAAGTACTTTGTTTTGCCTCAGTTCATATATGTTTTAAAAATCACTCATTTAAAATTAGCCTAGAGATTCTGTGTGTGCTGCCTTCCAGTCACAAAGCTTTATTTCATGAGTATCTTTAACAATTATATAGATCATTTTAAATGCATCTCCTGTCAATAAGCTCTGTGTGATGATCTAACTTAGTTTTGCCTGGTGCTTCAACACGTGGCACACATCCCTCTCCTTCTTCTCATTTGAATAAATCAGCAACTAATGAGAAAACATTTCAATAATCTGGTTTTTCAGCCTTTTCCTTCTCTAGTCAGTTAAACCTTTGGGGGAAGAAGTATTAAAATGGCTTGCCCTGTAATTGTTGGTTGTATGAGAACACTGAAAACAGTACTTTTGAAAGGTGATTGGACATGATGAAGGCCAATTGTTGATTGCATGCAAAAGAATGCCTTATCTAAAGCTGTGCTATGGCTTTTATCAGGGCGGTTGAACTTTATCAGCAACGAATTCAGTGGCTGTTGAAGGACAGCAGAAAGGTAACTTGAACTTTTCAGTTTGTGTTCAGAAGAGAGCTCTATACAGTATTAAAGAATATGTTAACCTTTGAATAGTAGTGAAAAGAGGCGTTCAGAAAGAAGAAAGATTATTTTTCTTGCTTTTACATTGGTACCTGGGATTTTTGCTTTCTAGATGTTGCCATTTTATTTCTCTTAGCAATTCTAATAGGGACCTCCCAGTGCCCTTAAAGAGGAGTAGCCAGAGCCAAGCTAAACTTTTGGCTGGAACTCGGCTGCTGTAGTTGGTGCCTCTGCCACAGCTGGTTAGTGACTCACTGTGCCCAGCTGTGCCCATGGCCAGCAATGGGAAAGGGACATAATTCTGTCTCAGGTGGGACAGGGAAACAAGGCATCCCAAAATCTGCCATAGTGATTTAACCTGAAGAAGATGCTGTGCCCAACATTAATTTTATTGTTGGAAACGATTGATAGTCTTGGAAGGGAAACAGTGTGACTCACAGATAAGGAGAAACAAGGAGTGTGGTAGTACTCTTTTGTTTTCTTGTCTGTCACTGTCTCATCTTTATGCTTGAAAGCTTAAAGTGAAAATAAATTTGTGACACCCAAATTTAAAATGCTACTGTATAGAGTATACAGAAACATTTTTAAACTTTACATAAGCTCAATATTTACAGTGACTTCTTTTTTAAGGTGTTTGGCCTTGTAAAAGGAACCAAAGTTGGACTTGTGGTTGATGTGTCTGGTCTGAGTGACAGACCTAGACTAGAGGGTTTTCAGAAAGATCTTTTGGTGAGTGATAATAGAGCAGACTTTGGCTATTGTAACATGTAAATGAAGATTCATAGCTAAGGGGAGGGAAAATCCTCTTGAATTCGTAATGTGCAATAAAGTCTTCTACTGTAGAAAGCTATTCTTTAAATGACTTTGAAATTGCAATCTTTGTCTAGATCCAAATAAATTACTGCAACTACTATAATAATAACAGCAGCTTTCTCAGTGCTTGTACCAGCATTCTCTTTGATTCTTAGCTTGTCTAAAAGAAGCAACTGAAGAGCTAGAACCGAGCCATATATAGAGTACAATTTCACTTCTTGCATTCAGGCATTATTTAAAATGGATTTGTATTACTCAAATTCCTCATTTGTGCATTTTAAATAAAACAACTAAAAAGAAAACTCAGGTTTTACTTGGTCCTAATGCTTAACCTATTGTTTAGCCCTACCCATGAATATATATTAAACATTTTAGTAATTACTTGGTTAATGAATGTGCCCTTTGTGGAACAGTACGTTCTGTTTTGTATGCACATCAACTGAAGACAAGAAAAATATTCCGTGTCTCCATTAACAAACTGACAGGATTACTGTAAGTTTGCCTGTCTTGTTTCAGTACTCCTTAGCTTAGTCACTGGTGTCACTTGTTTTGGAAGCATTTCTCTGTGGTAGCTGAAAACATTGCTATCAACTGTTTTTAGTGTATTTCTGGCTTTGTTCCTTTGTATAGTAACTCTACTAGTAGCAGCATGGATAGCAGTGCATTAACAGACTTTTTATTTGTTAGTTCTTAATAGATGAACAGCTGTGTTATAAGAAGCAATTGTACTGCCTCTCATTTGGTACAGAAACTTCACCTCTGTGGGAGAGTCCAAAAAATGTTGGTGTTCATGTGTAAGTAAGTTAGTTTCTCTGTAAAGGTATTTCAGACCAGGTCTCCATTTAATTAGAACAATGTGGAGATAATAATTAGTGTTCTTCATCTGTTGCCCCTGTGCCTTGCAGTAATCTTCGTGGTCAGTTTTATTCAGCTCCTGCACGTTGAGTGCATGTGTTCCTTTTTTTCCCTAGGCTCGGTGAAGCAAGACAGTGGGTACAGCAGCTGGCACCTGCAGGAGGCTGCAATTTGCTGAAAGCCTTAAAACATGTCCTTACAGTGAAAGAGCTGAATTCTCTGGTGATTATAATACGAAGCTGGTAAGTCCAGCTTTAACTTGGATACAGAATTGGTACAAGAGTCTGAACTTGTTAGAAAAATAGTAATGACCTACTTACTTAGTAATGAGCTTTCATCCACCAGTCACTGTGAACCAAAACAAAATTTCAGTGCTTTTATTATCATTTCTAAACACATTCAAACGCCAGTAGGAGAAACTCAGTAATTGTTGGAAGAGAGGAGGTAAAAATTATACTAAATGATTGGATTTAATTCCCGTGATTTGTTATTTCTTTCTCATTTAATGTTTTCTTTTCTGTCTTCTTCAGTATGGCCTTTTCTTCCCTCATTTGGTTACTACCATTGCTAAGAGATTTTTCTTTCTCTTTTCCATATTTACTTACTGAAATCAGCCCTGATCAGTCTCTGGAAATACTGGCAGACTATGCTCAGCAATGTATGCTAGGGAGAAAACTTCTGGTTCATGCTGTTTCATACGATTGTGGCAGTCCTGCTGCTATTGTAAGTAACTGTCAATACTCACTTCCTTAAGTCTCCTGTCATTAATTTCCTATTTTGTATATGACTTTACTGAGATTTTGAACGTGTCCTCAAAACAGGAGTGGCAAGAAAGCAATGGAAGTATCATATAATCTCTTTGGTTTTCTCTACATGTACGTTAAAGATTCTTTGTCGGTCTGTAATTAAGAATTGAATACTGACAACCCATGTTAACCACAGAGATCACCAAACCAAAGTAATTCTTTATCTTCCTATTTAAATATGTAGGCAACTGTTAAACAGCTTGCAGAAGTTGTCAGTGGCCGCTACCATTGCTACTCTTCAAAGGGAGAGGTAGGTGACAGCTAGAGAGGCAGATGTTTAGTGACTCTTCACTTTTAGAAGACAAACTGCTTATCATCTGAGTAGAAGTTTATAGCAGTGCCTGGTCACAGAATTGGTCTTCAGTTCTGTCTGCTGAGGATGTGGCGAGTTCACCTGTTCGTTCTTTCTGCAACTCAAAATGTTTTCCTAAAAAGCACAGGAAGTTTTGCAAGTATTTCTCAGTGACTCACAGCTGACAATTAGGATGAAAGTAGTGATGGGTTTATTGGAGACTGATTCAAAATAGTAAAAAATAATGTATTTTTAATAAACTTCCATATGTAGAGTCTTAGGTACATTTACACTCCATTTTACCACACCAGACAGTTCTGCACGGCTGCACACACATCAAATAGTAAAGCTGCGCGTGGTTGATATTTGAGTAGCAGTTAACTTTTTTCCCCTTGTTTCTGTACGTACAGAATTCTGACAGTAGTGATGTTAATCTGCTGCTTCAGGAATCACACAAGGCTCAGGACCTACTCCAGAGTATCAAGCAGACTTTTCAAAGGCGTGTTGATGGCTCACTTATTAGTGGAATAGCAGATGTAAGTGTGTGTATATATATATATCCCCACAGGTACCTTGAAGTATCAGAGGTAGAAGTCCTTAGTGTTCACAGGATGAAAAAAAGAACATATGATTGTTCAGGTATTTTGATAAGTGAAGTCTGAATATTATATATTGGCCACCTGTTGTAAGAGCAAAGTAAGGCCAAAATGGCAAATTCTCCAAAATGTCTTTTCTCCAAGAAAATAAACTAAAGTGCTCTTGATGAAATTTGGATGAGAAAGTAAATACATCTCTTGTTAATTTTTCCTCCTGTGGAATGTTTGGAGAAATTTTAGTTCTACTTTGGCCTGACAGGGAGATTATTTTCTCATATCTTTCTTTCAGCCTGTGCAGATGGTCAGAAATGGAAATATATCTCTTTCTTTTGCTGTACTGTCATCTCTGTACTTCCCTGGAGCCTGGAAGCTTTGAAGTTTGCTGAGTTCACCTGTAATTGCTGATCTTTCATGCTGAAAGTTTGTCAGTGCTGTTCTATGAATCTGTGGCTCTGGAGGAACTTTTGTATTAACAAAATAGTCTGTCACAACAACTGTGAAGTGGACAAGATTGCTTTTAAAGTGGCAGTGAAATTTTCCATCAGCTGTCTTTGCATGTGTGGTTATCTGACCTGAGACATTCCAGGCTAGAGGTAAAATGGTCATCTATGAACAGTATTTCTAGCTCTGCTTCTCCTCATTCTCTCTGTTGTGTGCATGTAATACATACATTTTTTTTTCTCTCATCCAACCTTATAAATATTAAGAACCATTCAGACTACATAGGAAGCAGAAGTCACCCTGAAAAAATGCTGACTGTCCTATATCCCTAAATAAAAGCATGCCATTTCAGAGACATATTAATTAAATCTTTTGTATGAAAAAGTGTCTCCAGATTTCCATTAATTTATAAAAGATAGGTCTCTTACACATTTTTTTCTAGGTGAAAGAGTTCTAATGTCCCATAGAAGTTTGTTGACTTGTTTGCATTGTTTTGAATGAATGGAGAATGTGTTTCATTTTGATTTTCAGATCAGTACACGTAGGAAATGGAGAAGTCAAAATCTGGTTTGTGTATGATGCTGATGGTTTTCCTACCTTTTTTAGCAAAATAACTGTCTGTTTTCCCTTGCACAACTATGATGTTTTCATTTTCCCTGTGGATTTTTGCATGTGGCTGATGGAGTGAAGTTACTGGAACACTGTCCTGCAGAATCTATTTCTGGGAGGACCAGTCGTAGCTGTTTTTGAAGTGTTTTAATGACTGCAATCTCAGCACTCTAAACATCAGTAAAACTAAAATTTTATGCTGAATGTTTAGATTGAGTGTGAGGGAGTGAAAATATGCAAAAAACTTGCAAGATGTTTTCTTAAAATCCATTTTAGGTTTCCACAGAAGTTGCAAATGCATCAATTCCTTGCTTCCTATCAAGGCCTCCAAAGCATGAAGGACCATTAATTATTCAAACACCACGCTTCCTGGCCAGAACTTCAACAGAATGGCTAAAGACAAATGGATTGAAAGGTAGCACAGAAGGAAAAGCGTAACAGATATGAAACAGGAAATAAAGATAGAGAATATGTTTTATTTAATTTTTTTGTTCCTTGCTATAGCTAAGAAGTTAAACCTTTATCAAGTTTTGGCTCCCAATGCTTTTTCTCCTGTGGAAGAATTTGTACCAATTCTTCAAAAAACAGTATCATCAACTGTACACGAGGCAAGTGATGGGGACCTGCTCCTTTTCTCTTGTTGGGTTTTTTGTTTGGTTGGTTTGGGTTTTTTTTGTTTGTCTGTATTTCTTTCTACTGCTACTTTTTCTAATTAAAATTGGTGCTTTATAAGATAATGACATTCTGTGGGTTTTGACTGAAATTTGAGATGTGCAGCCGTAGCAGATCAGAAATATATTATTCTTAAGAATAATTCAGCAGGAAATTCCATGCTCTTGTAACTTATATAGGCTTCTGTAAGCACATAACTGTTATTTATCCTTCTAGAAAGCTATGATGCAGTTTGAATGGCATGATGGAACTGTGAAAAATATTCATGTTGACCTGCCGATATTACACAAGTATCAGGTGGGTTTTAGTAGGGACACAACCTTGTCAGGGTCAATTACCATCTAATTTTTCTGTATTACTTGCAAGAGCAGCATTTTAGGCTTTACTGTGTTCCTCCAGCACTCTTATCATGCATGTGGATGATTTATCTTTCCTAATGCGAGTGTTGAAAAATGATTTAGATGTGTTTCCAGCATTTTCAGCATTGGAAAGCAGAAATCATTTTCAAGTTCTTTACAGAAGGCTCTCATACTTCTACTTTGCAGTAAGGTATCAGTAATATGTACAAGTTGGGCATTTGTAGTTAATGTTTTAGCGTATGCTCAGCTGTTCTTTATACTTGGAATGAATTCTGAATATTGAGACAGCATGTTGCTGCAAATCACATCATTATTTGAATTAGTTGAATACTGAGCTGCACTTGTCTCTGCAGAGTCTTCGTCTCTACTAGTCAAAATTATTTTGTGTGTTTGATGAATACACCTTTTGCTGGTGTGCCTCCTATGAGGAGAATGTAGACATTGTGTGGCAGGGACACTGCAGTAAATGCCACCTGACTCTTGGGAAACCATAACACCAGAACCTGAGTTCTAAATCCTTCCAGTGACAGCTTGCGTGGAGTTTTTTTTCTTTCTTCTTCCAAAATGAGTGTGCTGGGAGGAACAGCTGCAGTCTGCAGATTGCTGGGCATGAGTGGGCAGTGAATGCTGCAGCTTTGGTTCTGCAGCTTAATGTGAACGGTGAACTACGGTGGAGAGATTTGAATCCTGGGAAAAACAGGAGGATTGTGCAACGTGATTTGATGAGCAGAGGCTCACAGTGCTTTCAGATCCAGAATTTCACATCTTGCAATATGGACAAGAACTGTTCTCAATCTGGGGCATAACGCTGGTAATCACAAAGCCTCGTTATGCTTTTTGTTAGCAGGAAATTAGTGGGAAACTACTTTTATGAAAGAGTATAAGAGTGTTGAGCACACCCTGTCGAGTAGGCTTGGAAGGCTGGGTAGAGTTCAGCCAATAAAGCTGATGATACTAATTGCCACCTTTAGTTTGACAGATCTGGGCAATACTTATCCAATTCTTACTCCTTGCCTTCCAGTCTGCAGCTGTGTGTTTAAACACTGGTTCTCAATAGTCTTTAAGGCCTTGATGGTGTGATTTCCATAGCAAGCAGTGCGGTGTCTGCATTGTAAGACTGAAGGGGTCAATGAAGAAAATTTTACAAGACAAAAAGTAGAAAAGCATCCAGCTATGTACTGTCTCACCCTAGAGATAGAAAGATGGTGATAAATAAGAAAGATGCAGAGTAGTCCAAGTTGTTTCCTTTTGGGTAGCATATGCAGCAGTGTCAGTAGGTAAGTCTCTGGTAACACCTTATAGTTTCTTTCCGAGTTCCATGTCCCTTTTCTACCTCGATTTGTCCTCATGCATGTAATGCATACATGTCTTGTGAAGGTCGTGTTCTGTAGAGTTGGGACAAATGGCCTTAATGTCTTCAAGTCAATATGGTGTTAAAAAAAATGGTATGTGTTTGAAAATATTTTAAGTTTTTATTTTAGCTGTTATATGTTATTACAAATGTTGCCTGAAGGTGGTTGGTGGTTTATTTTTTCTGGCCTCTACTTTGAATCATGCTAACAAAGAGAAGATGAAGAGAATATTTTAGACCCTATGTTGGTCATTTTATGTTTATCTCATGGATTGTATTCTGCTATCTTTACTAATAATAAAATGGTACCATTAAAATGAATGAGAATCATTACTATGTTTTAATGTTCTGGATTAAGCATTTGGTTACAAAATACTTACTTGAAAATCTTTATTTTTATCTTAAATTTTCTTTGTTTTATCCACAGAAACTCCTTGCCAAAATGGTAAGAATCTATGAGAAACGAATTAACTGGCTGTCTGTTGCTAGCAGAAGAATTTGGGGAAGTGTTTGTGAGAGGAGGTATTGTATTCTGGCAGTCCTGGTTTTGTGTATTGGTGGTGATTTTGATTTGTCAACCCCTGCTTTACGTGTAAATGAGCACTGAGGATCAGAGGGCACAAAACGGTCAGATGTAGAGACAACAGTTGCAGATAGGACCAGTGCAAGCAATCCACTTTTGACAACAGATACTGATATTCATTCATTTACTAATCTAGTGAATTTACAGTTATTATCAGTCTACAAAAAACTGCAATATCCATTAAATAAGACAAGACTCTTAAATTTCAGTTATCCAGCAAGTAAGCGTTTGGGGAGTGGTCTGTCTTAAGCCATGTATACCTGGTGTTTGTGGCCAAATGTCGTGCTTATGTCAACTCTCATACCCCTTCCTATTAGTACTGATACGCAGAGTGTTTCTGTACAGCCTCTTATGGATTCTTATCAGAAAGATAAGTTTCAACCGAGTTTCAAATTTCTGCCTCCAACTGAACTGCATTGCAGTGCCAGATGACAAATGCCAATGCAGATTTATCAGAAAAACTTCACATTTTTTCACCACGTGAGAATTGAGCTCTTTAGCTGATTTTGTTTGAGGATCATCTTCAATAATAACAACAATGATAATTAACAATGTGTCTGAATCTTCAGCAGAGGTCTCCCACCCAACTTCAGTTGCGTAATTGCTCTTATTGTCTTGCTTGCAGACACTGAATATGAAGTTTCAGAGAAGATAGCATAGGCCACTGTTACCAGGGAACTCTTTGTTCATTCATCAAGGACTGAATTGTGTAGGGCACACCTGTCCCACTGACTTCCATAACATCTGTGATACTTTCCATAAGCACTGCTCCCAAGATACCCCTTTCCATTCACAGTGACCATCCTGCATGGTCTTCACAAGCACACCTTGATATGAGACCATACTGAAGATCATCATTAATAGTTTCTTTTTCCCAAATAGTTAATATCAGTTCCAGGTAACATCAATCAGCTGATGTCTGGGCAGCACTGTTTGTCAGTGACTTGCTGGGAGATAATTCCATTTATCTTTGGAATGATACTGTGTAGCTTCCTGCAATGATGACTGGAGAAAGGACAATGAACTATCCAACAACTCTTCTTGTTGGATAACAGCCAAGTTTCAGCCATGTTCTGGATATTCAAGTACACAGAAGAAAGAGGAGCTGATGAGGGTTCAGTAGCCAGTATGTGCCTACGTGTGCCAGTACACTGATTATTGCATAGCTTAAGGAAGATAGAAATTTCTGTTAATATATTTTAAGAATCTCACTTTAGATTGTACAGATTATTGTTTTTATATAGACAGTACATATACATTTTTATACATAGCTAGATGTTTTCTTTGGTGAGCTCAAGAATGCAGTGAAGATGACAATATGCAATTAATTTTGTTTTTTTGAAATAACATGTTTCTTGTATAGGGTGGTTATACTTGTTGATATATCAGTGCCAAACTCCACCTGCATCATCCATATCCAACATTCTTTGCGACTCCTACTGGAAGAACAAATGTCAAATAAGGATTGCTTCAATATTATAGCGTAAGCAGCTACTTTTGGTTGTTGTAAAATAAATGTAACTTTGCAATGAAAGAAGTGTGTTGGTAGACTGTTGTTACCAACGGGGATATTTTAGAATTTTACTTGTATTTCACATGTTGTGATGAAGTAGTTGCAGGAGTAGCACTGACAACACTGCTTGCTAAATGTATGGATCAGATGTATAGAATTAAATTAGTAACTAAAATAATCATTTTGTTTTGGACTGACTGAAACTGGTTGGATGAGATTCTTGTATTGTTCATAACAGTGTGAATGCACGTGGCAGAAACTTTTGCTAGAAGAAGGTTTTAGAGGTGTCTCAGCACTACTGAGAATGCACTTTAAATTTTAAAGTGACTCCAATACTTCTTTAATGTTTAATTCTTCTTAAACTTCTGTTCTCACACTGCCAGTCAGAAACATATGACAGAGCAGCTGGGCAGATACCTGACTGACAGCTAAAAAAGACAGACTTATGGAGGTTCAAAATTTTGGGGAGAACAGAACCCTTACTTCATAAGATGAATGCAGGCAGCATCTCTGGGTTATTGGTCTGGGCAGTATGCTGTTTGTCTGTTGTTGTTTTGTTTCAATTGCAATCCTGCATTACCTCTGCTGAGCTTTTACCAGCTCATTTAGCATTCTGATCAAGAAAAAAAATGGAATCTGGCCCACTGCTTTGAAAATACGACTACGCCTGAGTGATGGATAAACGTGAATAATTAAGTGGTGTGAAACTGGAAACAGGTAACAATTTTACCTGTATGACACCCTAAATCAGATTTTTTGTCAGATAATTCTGCTAGTTCTTTTGTTTGTTTTAAAGCACAATGTGAGAATTCATTGCTGTTTTCTCTAAAAGATTTGGGAGCCACATTGTGCCTTGGCAGATGGAACTGGTTCCTTCCCAGCCTGAAAACTTACAAAAAGCTTGGAGGTAGGATCAAATTCCTTTCCCATACTTAGGAATTAAGTGAGCATAGATACTGTGAAACAGACATAACAAAGAAATAAAATGAATCAGCATTCTGAACAGTTTAGACAATGAAGTATCACAAAAATACTTCGCCACGAACTGTTCTATAGTGATGGTTATAGATGGTTTGTAGTGAAAATTGTCATAAAGTTCAGTGTCTTTGTATTTCATATGTGTATAGAGTATGTCAGTACACAAATACAGACGTTTTTAAGAAATGCACAGGTCACAAAAAGAATTTAAAATTACTTCAAATTCAGCTGAGATCTGGAAGCTAAACTGTTTTTCCCCATACACACTGAAACTAAATCTCATGATCCTCTTCGTGGAGTTATATCCTCAGTAGTTTCATTATACCTCTGTGGTTTTCTTTTATTCCTGTCTGTTCTGCTATTACAGTTTTTTCCCACATAAAATTAAGAGGGAATTCTTTCACCTCTGTGCTCTGAAACTTACCTTAAAAAGTAGTTTGCTGTAGTGGAAATACAGGAACTAGAACAAATGTTTTGAATGCTTGTATAATCTGATTTTGGTGGCTGTTATCAAAAAAACTACAGATCCCAGAGCAGTATTATTTAAGATTCAGAGTTCTCTCACTGCTTTTAGCAGAAACAAAAGCTTTTCTCAATTCACTCTTTGAAATGTAAACTTCTCAGGTGGGTATTGAGGTTGCAGTGCAGTGGGAGTAGGAATTTCATGAGTGCTCTCAGAAGAGCTGTGGAAGTAGACTTCAAAGAAAAGGATAAACACAAGTCACAAGGAATTTACCTACTGACTACTGGAATACCTGATCAGGAAACAGTGAGTATCTTTACAGGTTTTACAGTTCTTCTGTAAATTCCCATCAGAATTAATCTCAATTTTATTTTTTCCTCTCTTTTGTCCTTTTGGCTATTTTTCATAACTTGTTGGCAGAATACTTCATTACATATCTATGACTGTAGTGGTCATACAGCTGTTCAGGTTATAGTCCTGTGCTGAATTATGCAGGTTAAGAGTGCTTGCTCATCAGTTCAGGAAAAACTGGAGCAGATGGAAACTCACCTATGACATGGAGAGACTTCTGATTTTGATTTATTTTTGCCTTATAGCACACAATCAGTGCCTACGTGGCTGAGGCTTGCAGAGGTTTTGATTTGCAGCTTCATGTCTGTCTGTTCAGTGTAATGGAGGATGCTGACTCCTGTGGGATTATTCCAGCCCGCTATGCTACCCCGACAGAAACTGCCATTGCTTTTAAAGAAATAGTACAGGCTGCCAATGGGAGATTTCATTGGTTTGGAGAAGCAGGTAAGTGAAAAGGAGAGACAGCACTTCATTCTTTATCGTTCATTAAATAATACCTATCATTGCTTTTTTTTTTACCTCTAGTTAAGTCTAGTTTTAAGTTTAGTTTAGCACTGAGATACAAACATAAGTCTTAGTTTAATTAAGGCTTTTGGCTATCTTAAAGAATATAATAATGCAGCATTAATTTGAGTTTTTCTATTCAAATTCATAGAATCGCAAGGTTGGAAATGACCTCAAGATCATCTAGTCCAACCACCCTGCCATTCCCAGTACCACAAGCTACTAAACTGTATCTCGTAATTCACTGTTCTTTCATTCACTGTTTTTTGCTAAATATTTTAAAAGTACACAGTTAAAATTTATTTACTAGTGTAGTAGGCAAAGACTGCATAACAAATGGGAAACAGGGCTTTTTTATTTTTATTTTTTGTTGTTGATATTTGACATACTCTATACTTTTCTGTACACTTAAAAATAATGACTAGCATATATTTGATTATCAGGTATTTTTGAAAGCGATGATATCACTGTTCTTGTATCTGAAATGGAAAAAGCAAAGAACTACTCCCAAAAGGTATGAATGATATATATCTTCTGAAATTATGCTTTTCTTCAGAATAAAAAGGAATAGCGTTTGTTCAACTGGCAGTGCAGAAAATTGGACAGCATGAAATTCCTTGTAAGACAGAGAGGAAAACTCGAGAGTGTGAGAATGGCCACTTAGAGCAAACACGGACTGGGAAGCAGTGATACAGTAGCACTGCAGTGATGGCTGTTAGTGTCCATGGTTTCCTATCAAATATAAGGAGTTCACATTTGAAGTGATTTTCCTGTTTGTTGCCAATCCTATGATAGAGGATTCTATCCAAGTGCACAGATACTTGAGTGAAATGGTTCATTTACTCCTTTAAATCACAGCGTAGGAAAAGGTTGTCAATTGCACAGTACATTTCTCTAATATTAAAAAAAAAAGGTTTCCTGAAGCGTAGTAAGGGTGTAGAACTCTTCAGTCTCTCCCCATATTACATGCGTTTAACTTTTTCCCCAAGATATGGAATACATTTGCTTGGGCAGCATGCAGCCTGGCTGTATGAAAGCTGTTTCTTTCTGAAGTGTGAATAGAAGGATATGTGCAATGAGATGTCTGGCCAGAGATCAGAGCAGGTCTGAGATGAAACTTTTTGTTGGTGGTGCTGTGTTTTGTATGATTTGTTTCGTAAAGAACAACTGGTGAATATTCAGTAGGATCTTAAGTATTTTGGTATTACTGTTTAATGGCTGAATGTATTCGGTTCATCTGCTGCTCATTTCTCCTGGGCTCTGTGCATGTAGCGTTCCTTTTTCTTTTAGAGTGTTTGCTCAGAGCAGGGAAGGTTTACTTCCCATGTGTTTTAGGAAGTACAACACAAAGAGGTTATGAGTTGTTAAGCATCACCTGATTATTATTTTTATGATAAATAAAACAAATACCAATTTTATTAAATACAGGATGTCAGTCTTTGAAGTGTCATGTTTATGAATTACTAAGCAGCGTGAACTTCCATTTCAGTGTGCGTTCTTAGTGGAATCCTTAAAGCAACGTTCAGGAAATCAGCCTGCTGATCCACTTATAGCAGAAGCAGGCGCAACCGTGGCTGTCACAAAAGAGAAAAGAAGGCCGCAGAAGTTGCCATCTCCAAAACCTACAGCTCTGAGTCTGGCTAGAATGGTTTGAAATCCTTCACAGTTCCATTTTAAGATGCAGTCTGTTTTAATTAGTGATATTAACTGGCTGTTATATGCTGGTCTTTGTAAGAGAAGTGCTCAGGCTGAAAATTTGAAAATTTGTAATAACAGTTCTGTGACTCTACTATGAATTTACATTTTAATTTGCATTCAAAGTGCTACACAAAAAAGTACACCTTACTAAATCCTGTGAAGTAATTAAATATAACTGTAGTGATTAAATAACATTGTAGTATCTAAAATTGTCTAAATTGCCCCTCCTCTGACCTTAAAAATTCAGTCTTTAATAGAAGCAAAGGCAAAGCAGAAACATGCTTTATGAAGTTGCTTTTATTTAGCAAGTCCATCCATTACCATACTATACTCTCCTTCATGTCACAAAAATGCTCCAACCTCATCTGACCTTAAATATTAGTCTTCAGTTTAATGGCAGCAGAAAGTCGGCAAGAAAATTAAAACAGAGCAATTAGAGTTATTAACCTAGCAAGAAATTGCAAATTAATGTGTCATAATGGCAACCTGCTGGCTAGTAAGAAGAGCCAGAGTAAAACAGGAATTAGAGAATAATGGAAGATAGTTCCAGTTTTGAATAAGTTAGGCAATTATGGTACTGTATGGTTAAAATACTTGTTAATTTCTTCTCTCTTTGTGCTTATAGCACATCAAAGACAAACACTGTGCGGAGAAAAACGCCTCCATCAGAGTGCCGGCGTGGCGTCCCACCAGTGCAAAAGCAGAAATTCCACCAGGTCTGCATGGATGAGGGGCTTCTTGTCTTTACTTTGTTTGGGAGTTGCTAAAAATAAAGTACTAAATTAGAACTGAAGGATTTAAGCTTTTAGAAACACTAGCAGTATTTATCTGAAGACAGAGCAATAGGGAACATTGCAGTTTGTGAAATGCCTCTAAATGAGTTGTAGATGTGATCTGTCTAGATTAGGAGAGGAAGAATGCTGCCCAGCTGTATAACTGTTTCCAGGTCATTTGATTGAATATCCATCCTGTATCAGAAAACATAAATATATGTGGTGGAAAGAAGAGCCTTCCTTTGTCGCATGCCTGAAAACGTAATTAAAACCCCACCTGTCTTTGTTTACAATTTATACTTTTTTTTGAAGTCGCAACAGTTCAGAGATTTATTTTTAGTTTTATGTATTTTTTGTTAATTTTCTTGTAAGCAGTTGTTCTTGGTGTGCTCTTCTACTTATTTATGATCCAGTAATAAAGGAAAACTGTAACACAAATGTCAGGTTATCTGAAGAGCTGCATCCTGCAGCTACTGCTGGTGCATGGAACAGCTCTTAAATTGATTCCAACCCCAATTTTTCAATTCTCATAATTTTCCTGTTTTGTTCTTATAGCTTTGCTAACATCTGCAGGGTTTTGGTTTTTGTTTTGTTTATTTGTTGAATTTTTGTATTAAATTTGGGCCTTTAATACCGACTGATTGATATCAGATTCTTGATATTCAGTAACTTTTACAGATCTGGGTTCATATTTGCATGAGGTGTTGTATGCCATGATAACTGAATGTTGCAACAAATGCTTTGCTTGTTCTAAACCCCTGATCTTTTCAGGTTATTTAGTATGACTGATCATATTTATAACTTATATATAATTCATAATTTATAAATTATTAGTGGCAATTTATACATTGTAAAGATTATGGTTTGATTTGTATGTGACAAATTCTATAATATAGATTCTTCTTAATTGTTATCCAAGAAAAGTATGTGTAACTGTGGCAACTGAAGAACTGGATTGCATGTCAGAGTTTTATCCTCAGCTGAATGAAGTCATCATTTACGGTGTTGCTGGTTGTTGTTTTGTTTTCTTTGTAGTACAAACAATAAAACAATGGCCTCAGGCTGAGAACAGAAGAAAATATAAACCAAGGAAACAGCCAGAGTGTTCTGTGTCAGTATTTTATACTGACAAAGGAAGAAATGTGGGTATGTGTTACCAAGGTGTAATGGGTGAAGCCTTTTTACTGGCAGTTATTATAATATAACACTGTTTGGATACTAAGTCATGCATAATCAGCTGTAAATAATGAGTGGAAGTGAGCGTCACTTATCAAATAGGGGTGGACTTGGGGTTTTCTAATTTGACTTTTGGTTAAGTGCTCTGTGATCTTCTGGTCAAAGATGCTTCAAGGAAAAATGCTGTCATGCCTTAGATGATGAGAAGATATTGTTTGGATTTTTTTAAAGGTAATGTTGAAGATAAAATGACTTATTGTGTATTCCTTCATACAGAAATTTTGAATTTTGTCAAATGAAAAATCATGTGTGAAATACTTGGGGTTTTTCTGTTGCTGTTTGGTTTGTTGGTTTTATTTTACCAACAGGAATATTTTCATGTGGCTCCAAAAGGGCTATGAGACCATGTGTGAAGAGCTATGAAGAGGTAACCTAATGTTCCAAGTGTTTCTTGCTAGGTGCAGTATTCCGAAGTTATCCAAAGACTGTTTGCATAAGAAAGCATGTTCCCTCTGTCAGATTGCCAAAAAAAGAGGAAATCTGTTCAAGCAAAGAGGTATTTTGCTCCTTACCAATAAATAGCCATTTTAGAATTGTTAATATGAATTAATGTGAACATTTGAATTGTGATTCTGTACAACGTATTATTACTTGAATAGTTCTAAAATTTACTAACAACCAATTGCACCTTTTGTTTGTCTTACAAGTGGCTGACAAAGTACAGTATTAAAAAGCTTAAACTGGAATTGCCCAGACTGATGTTTGGTCCAAGCTGCACTCACCAAAAGAAAATTGTGGAGTCTCTGCACAAGAAAGTGTCAGCAAAGTACTGCACTATCTTCCCCAGTGTAGAAATCAATGTAAGCTTTTGTAGATTTTATGTACCTACATCATTGAGAGGCTTTGTATTTGCTAAAGCAGTGCATATTAATCAGTGTTTGTGAGATGCCAGTCTTATGTCCCCTCTACTATTTCTTGTTTTTCATTCTAAATGAACATTCTAGTAGAAAACTAGAGAAGGCCTCTATTCACCACAAAAGATGATTAATATATTTGAAATGCGAACAGCATGGGATCTTTAGAATGTATGGCATCTCCTCTGTTCATCCAGTATGAATAGTAATATAAAAATTTATTTTTAGGGAGAGCTTTGAGAAATCAAATGTGAGGGGAAACGACAAGAATGTTGTATATTGCTTGGTTTGGTTTGTGCAGTGACCAGAAAAACATAACAGGTTAAAGTTAGGATATTACTGGTTTATTATATCTATGAAAGTGTCAGAAGAAGTGCAACAGATGCATCTCTCCAGACAAGTTATTTAATTTTGTTGCTTGAAACAACAGGCTGAAATAAGAACCAGGTTTTCCTAATTTGGGTAAAGCAGTTGTTTAGTAGCAACTGAGTTATAGAAGTTTTTTATGCTTTTTCATAGAGTTAAAGATTAAAAAATCCTAATGAAGGGACTACATTTGTAACAGTTGTTAACGTAAGGTACTTTTGTATGAACAATTTTTCAGGGGGTTGTGAGACATCTGCAGGTTCAATCTAAAGAACTGGAAATCTACATTGAACAAATGGAGAAGGTGTTGCTACGCTACCTGCAGAGAATACAGTGGCTTCTGTCAGGTATTGCTGTGCATCTTTCCTATAAAGCATGGCCTGTCGTGTCTGTCCTGTGATTTGGAGCAGCATAATTGTAAAATTCCATTTCTTGATTGCTTTTTGTTTCAAACTCTGCTCTGGAAACCCAGTTTTCATTTTTCTGTAAAAAAATATCTCTCTTGTTTTAGCAATAAGCTTTTGTTTGTAGACAAAATCATTAATGAATTGTGTGCTTGGCACATGGTTTGAAATTATTCGAGTGGTAGCAGCTGCCTCTTTTAATTTTAACACGGAATCACTGCTTTTGAAAACTATTTTGATTTGTTACTCATAAATAATTTTGTTAGGAAATGGTTACTTTTTTTTTTTCTGTATTGCAAAGTTCAGCCTGTTTTTAGTGCAAGTTGTAATAATTGGCTAGTAACTAATGCTTGTTAGTACTAGAAATGGTGGAAGACAATCCTATCACTAATCCTTGAACAACCTCGTTTCCTCTCATATTAGAATTTGTTATGTAGAAATGCATCCAGAGTAATTCCTGAAGATGGAAGATTTTACCGTAGGCTCAATAAAATCATATGTTTAACATCATAAGTCTTTGTAATAACACTTAGTTTTAATTATTCTGGTGCAGGAAGTCGAAGATTCTTTGGTACCATTTTAGAAGCAAATGTCTGTGTTTTGATTGATACATCTGGTTCCATGGACCCATATTTGCCACATATCACGAAGGAACTTTCCTCCCTTATCTGGGAGCAGCTGAGAAAAAATGAAGTCAGGTATAATAAACTGCTGATAAACATCGCACTGCTTCTGCACTACTTCTGTAATTAAGAAACAATACGTAATAATCTGTTAGGAAATACTACTTCTCTGGAAGAATGGTCAGGCACTGGAATGGGCTGCCTAGGAAGGTGGTGGAGTAACCAACTCTGGAGGCATTCAAAGAACGTTTGGACACTGTGTTGAGGGACATGGTTTAGTGAGAACTGTTGGTGATTAGTGGATGGTTGGACTGGAAAAGACCATGGGTCTTTCAGCTGACACAGAATAACTTACGTTTTCTTACCCTTTATTCCAATAATTGGTGGTTGGTTTTGTTCTTTTGGTTTTGTTTTCTGTTTCAAAAGTGTCTTATACAACGTGACTGCTAAGACTGGTTAGATTTAAATGTTGTGGGCCATCTTTCTCCCAAGGTTTAACCTGTTGAGATTTGCAGAAAATACAGAGAGTTGGAGGGAGCATCTTGTAGAGGCAACTGATAAAACATGTCACGATGCTGTGCAGTGGGTGTCCAAATTCCATGCTCATGGTAATACCTGCATCCTTATGGCTTTACAGGTTAGTAAATTGTGTATAGTGTTGGAAATATCCAAATAATTTTCCAGGACAGTATCTGTGATA